GCAAACACTCCCTCTATATCACACCCTGCCCCAGGGGAGAATACCCTAAATGCGAATACTGTACTAATACTTGCTCTACATCAAAGGGGCATTTGAATAACGGTAAGCTAGGGTTTGTGGTAACAGATACAGAATCTCTTTTCAGAAAATTAGCATATTTTGCGGTAGATAAAAACCGAGTGTGAGCGAAAACCGAGGTAATAACCGAGCATGCGCGAACACCTAATAGTCTGAGAATTATGAAACCACAATATCGCGATGTTTATTGCATTCGCTATATAATGATTTCCACGTGGATTTGGGGTTTTATTTGTCAAAATTGTCATTCTTATACATTTTCATTGGTCAGAATTTACTTGCCATGCAGTGCGCGTTCTAGATTTCGTATTCAAATTCCAGGGCAAAAACGCACTCCATATATAACTTACTCATATATTGGCGAGGTGCGTGACAAATTCGACAACCGTTCTGAAATATTTCAAGAGCTAGTGGTAATACAGACCATACGCTATTTTTAACATAAACGAAGCAAAACCATAAAATAAAAAAAAATAAGCATTGAGGTAGAGATGCAGGTTGGGAGACTATATTTTGACTCTAATTACTGTAATTACATGAGTAAAATATACTTTTTATCCATCATGTTATATATCATTTGAAAGAGTTTTACAATAATGTACTATGATGCCATATTAAGTGGTGTTGATTTGGGGTTAAAATCATGCATTTTAGGTGAAAGTGCACTTAAAACTATTTAACTTTTGAATGCATACCCTGATTTTAATTTAAAAACACTTATTTAATACTTCTGTTTACAGAGAGCCAGGACAGGAAGTCTCACACCAGCTGCTCCGTAACTGAGGCCAGCAATCATTTGCATATAACATCAACAGTGACTATATTTTAAAATTGATTTTTGACAATGCTCCGAAAAGTCTGGGTAAGAAAAAGCAAAAAAAAAAAAAAAAAAAAAAATTACGATTTACGAAACAGGCGACAGGCCCGGCGAAGCTACTTACACTATAACTGTGTCTGATTAGGTACAAAATCAGAGAACAAAGTTGTTTTTCTCGATGTATCAGAATAACCACGTTATAATTGTATAATAGATACCTGTATGAGATGTAATTGATCACGTGATTATAAACAACGTATATGTTGTAAAGTATCGATATACTAGCAATATCAAAATTTATTTATTGGGCGATCATCTGCACTTCCCGGCCCGGTATTTTATAAACACCCTATTGTTTGTTTTAATGACTCACTCGTACAGCGTTCACGCACAAATCCTTAGAGCAGGATAAAAGGTCAAATACCTTAGCCCGGGCTAAGAAAACGTGCTTGAACGCTTAGCACGGGCTAAGAAATGCTAAGTACGGATTAAATCTAACCCGTTTGTAAGACCTGGTCCCGATTCTTAGCACGGGCTAATGAAGTGTGTTGAATAATCATAATTAAAATGATTGAAGATTGTTTTATATTCTTAACGACAATAGTCGTTCCCTAGCCCGTACTAACCACTGTTCCTCCCGTGCGTGAACGCATTTGGTCTATCCGATATGCGAACAAACGAGATTGGCTTAAATTTTAGCCTGTACTTTGTGTAGCGCGATTACTACTGAGGTTTGGAAAGTTATGTATACACACATGCACATCGCTTTACGAATGTTTCCTAGTCAGTTGATTTTCTTTCACATGTTACTGGACTTGCATGAAAATGAATTGCAATCGATAGTATTGATTATTGTCGTTGAAAGGATTAGCCAGATCGGGAACATAATGCGTAAATAATTCGTTACCGACTGAATATTGAATGGATAGAAAACATCCCAGAAAACAACCGGCGTTAAAGCCAGGCACACATAGGTTCTATCATTGTTTTTTTCTTGGCGTTTATGTGTGTATGCATGTATATTATATTCATATGACATTTTGTTTAATATAATCAATCGAGGACTAATACATAGATTCTACAAATCGTACCTTGGTCTAATACGATGGATAGAGATTTTGTGGTCCTAACTTGTAAGTCTCCTGGGTGTATAAGTCGACGCTCAAAGAAGATATTCAAAGAATATTCCACCACCCCACCCGATTAAGGATGATATCATGTCCGTCATATCTCCACTGGATCCATACCCCTTCTCAAGCTGATAGGATAATATGCAAATTTGGAGCCCCTTTCACACCATTTTGCCAAAATAATAATAATAATAATAGTTTCACAATAATAATTTATTAATCCTTAGAAATACATTTCCTATCAGTTGACAGGAATAACATTGAATAAATAACCGAAACAATGTTGGACACTGTCGACTGTGATCAGTACTGTCACAGATACTTGAGGGCTGAAGAACCAAATAAACTAGCCAGTTATATTTATTATTTCATCGTCACTTGTTAATATTTTTAACTAGTCATCTCTAAAAAAAATATGAATGTTCAGCCCTCAAGTGAGTACTGTACTGTCACTGGGGACTGGAACTGTAAAGGGCATGTGATATTCGGATGATATGGCATCGATGTACTCAAATTGGAAAGCTATACATTATTTTGAAGATACATGGAAGGTAGTAGACTATTCAAATCTTCAGTTTCGATTCATTTTGCTCTTTCTTCCAGCAAAAATCGTTGTTGGGAAATCAACAAAAAGCCTTAAATATTATTATTAATATAATTATTATACAAGCTATAAACAACCTATTCAGAAATTTAGTTTGTATACATTTTGTATACAACCATTATTTGCTTATTTTACCTTAGTATGCTGTCGTTTTGTTAATTTCAGACTAAATTAACCCCCATGTCAAACGGGATGTAAAACCCCTTTCATTTAACCAAACACAATGAGCGAAAAATCTTATTTTCCGGGGATACCCGATTACAGTGTTCGGGAATTCCGAAAATGTCTGTTTGTGTTTCGGACTTGTTCGACTATAATTCGGTTATTGTCGGGTGTACGTTACCATTTCCGGGTCTTTCGGAGTCATATAGATGACAGCTATGGCGAAGAAACATGGACAAAAAGGTAGTTAGTTTACATTGATACTGTTACTTTTGTAATATTGAGTTAGCAGAGTGACATTTTTGGTTAATATAGTGAGTATGTGTAGACATTTGTGGTGATTATGAAGACTTTTGACGACTCCTTGGCCTTGACACTCTCACTCTCGCTGACCTTCATTGAAGGCTTCATTGGAGGTGCCTTCCCGGCTCACATTCCATCATTTAATGAAAGTTTCACAGACAGCATCAATGATTATGTCGATGTTCTGTCACGGCCCTGCAACACCTTGCTGTCTGACTTCATTTTTGTTTTAATACTGAGTGTAACCTGCAGTTGTACTCTGTATTTAACACAACAGGCATTACGCTACGTGATGAAATCTCGACCGCGACGTCGGTTCTTAGGCTGACTACTTCCCCAACACTGCAAAAAATCGTATTTTACAAAAAAATTGCGATGTTGATACATATCACACACTTTTAATTTTGAATGTACCACATTTCTCGATACGAACGTAATTCGGCAGTAATTGATAGAAGTGTTATGTCGGCATTCCAATGTTTACAGACTCTGTTCCATTCAACGTCTCTGTCCCACAGCTACCCACATGAACGGCCACGTTGTGTGCGAAATACGAGACGCTCTTTGCTAAACAGTCTGGAAACCTGTCTGCTTTACACCCAAATATTTTGTGTCTGTGAATTATGACTGAGTTTCCAAACATTTGTTGACCTCCATTGGAAAGCTTTGCCTCTGTTCGTTCCAACTTGCCTACTAATAGGCCTTAAATAAATCGCTACAATGTCTTGATTGCCTTTGTGTTTATGCATATCCACTTTCCGCCCATTGTCTTCGATATTCAATTTGTTTTTCTGTGTATTTGTGCAAGTATTATGTTATACAATATTACAGTTTATTGTGTTTATGTGAACGGTTGCCCTGTACTATATGTACCATGGGGTGACATGTGTTTAGTGAAAATGGGAACACCCTTCATTTATATGTAAATCAACGTTCCAAATGGCTGGAAATGTCCATTGTGTTGTCTTCATTCAGTGTACATGTATATCGAATACAAGTTTGAGTACACTTTACGGTACACCCCCTAAAAGGTGATTTTGGAGGGGTGAATTATTATCAAACTGGACCTGTTCAGTTTCTGTCAAATGATGGAATCCCTAGAAAATGTGATTGTGCTGATTTGCATATAATTGGAATGATGTCAGTGTTATTGCAGTAAGTGTACAGGAGGATTCTCAATTCAATCTTTTATTTTTGGTGTGTCTTTTCAATCAAAACAAGCAGACTGAATTTAGATTGTCTGCCTGTCTATATATGCCTTGTAAATAATTTTTTTAAAATGCTGATGTTTTGGTTCCCATTACATATACTGTTGACATCATGCATCTGTGCGTCATAAGATTTGTATCTTTGTCACTTACTTCCATTTATGTTTGTTATTATGCTCCAAATGGGTGTAGGCTTTGTCTTCCTGAATAATTGTTTCCATATTTTTATGTATTAATATAGATAGGTCACTCCCCCAAATTAACCATCACTAATGTGCTTATCTCTGACAGTTGGATCAGGTGCAGGTGTTGACACTGACCAGAAAACCTTATTTGTCTGATACCATGCCCATTTAAACCCATCCTATGAGTAAAGCCCATTTAAACCCATCCTATGAGTAAAGCCCATTTAAACCCATCCTATGAGTAAAGCCCATTTAAACCTATCCTATTAGTGAAGCCCATTTAAACATATCCTATGAGTAAAGCCCATTTAAACCTATCCTATTAGTGAAGCCCATTTAAACATATCCTATGAGTAAAGCTCATTTAAACCTATCCTATGAGTGAAGCCCATTTAAACCTAGTGCCCGAGTGAAGCCCATTTAAACCTATCCTATGAGTGAAGCCCATTTAAACCTATCCTATGAGTGAAGCCCTTTTAAACCTATCATATGAGTGAAGCCCTTTTAAACCTATCATATGAGTGAAGCCCATTCAAACCTAGCCTATGAGTGATGCCCATTTAATCCTATCCTATGAGTGAAGCCCATTTAAACCTAGCCCACGAGTGAAGCCCATTTAAAGCTATCCTGAGTGAAGCCCATTTAAACCTATCCTGAGTAAAGCCCATTTAAACCTATCCTATGAGTGAAGCCCATTTAAACCTAGCCTATGAGTGAAGCCCATTTAAACCTAGCCTATGAGTGAAGCCCATTTAATCCTGTCCTATGAGTGAAGCCCATTTAAACCTAGCCCACGAGTGAAGCCCATTTAAAGCTATCCTGAGTGAAGCCCATTTAAAGCTATCCTGAGTGAAGCCCATTTAAACCTATCCTATGAGTGAAGCCCATTTAAACCTATCCTGAGTGAAGCCCATTTAAACCTAGCCCATGAGTGAAGCCCATTTAAACCTATCCTATGACTGAAGCCTATTTAAACCTATCCTATGAGTGAAGCCCATTTAAACCTATCCTATGAGTGAAGCCCATTTAAACCTAGCCTATGAGTGAAGCCCATTTAAACCTGGCATATGAGTAAAGCCCATTTAAACCTAGCCCATGAGTAAAGCCCATTTAAACCTAGCCCATTTAAACCTATTCCATGAGTGAAGTCTTGGCATCTTTTGGCTGAAAATTTCGCCCCTCGACCACCTAATTACATGTGTGCAGATTTTTGTAATTAACTTGTTAAAATCTATTATGGTTTATTACAAACAAATACATTTCTTTGACTTGCTATAAAATGTTTGTAAACTTAATCTTTGTTTCTTCATGAGCAAATGAACACTTTATCAATCACATGCATGTACAAAGCTAAGATCTGCTACGACTTCTTGAGCAGAAGTCAACCTACCATGGTTTTCTTTGACCTGGAAGGTAAAGAATGCCATAAACCAATCAAGTACTGTGGTACCAGAATCCAACATCTTTGAATATTGGTGTTTGCAAAGAATACATTGTGGAAGTAAAATTTTTCATATCAAAGTTGCAGAATAATTCATTGGTGTTGATTTCGCTATACGAGTTAAAACAAGCTTTAAAAAAGTTTTACAGCTTTCAGGATGATAACAGATGAAATATGCTCGTGCAATAAATTGCAGGTCTTTTATACATCTCTAACTCAGTCGTAATTTGTTTTATTTGGGCAATGAAACATCGTAAGTAATTGTGCTTTGAGGGAAACGCTGCTTTCTTAACAAACCAAATGATTGCCCAGTAAATCTCGCATTTTGGCAGTCCTTAATCACAATCTGTCATGTAAATGGTATTTCCATCTATTTGCTTCTATTCCCACTATCCTTAAAGCACTGAAGTCGTTTTGCGTGCAGTGACATGAACATTGCTGCAATGTAAGACGCGCTGAACACGAAGTTCATTTCTATATCTATACAGGATACAATACAGGAATTGATATGCTGCAAGTTAGAGTGCCTATACCTAAGCGACCGTCCCTCCGCAAATAATTTAGCCCAGACATTTTCTGTGTCAAAATCGCGAAAATATCCAATCTGGGAAGTCTGAATGACTAAACGAAGTACAGAACGACGAAGCTGAAGAACCAACACATACCAAAAATTATATCTCAAATGTAAATATTCATGGTATATATATTTTAAGTCTAACCGGACTGGAAGTGGGAATTTGATACTATTCTGAATATCCAAACATATTTTAGTTTAAGGTAGTAAACATAAGAAATAATATTGATGTACCAATAATAGACCATTTTCCGTTCACTGCGAGAATCACGCGTTATGCGTGAAATCAAACGTAAAAACAGGACAAACAAAGGTCATAGCGTCGTAGTGGCGTCAAACATCGCGTGGGATTCGATAAACGCGAAAATATTTTGGGGGCATTTCCATGCTTAATAATGTGCTGTATACATTTGATGATAGACAATTTTGATTAAGTGAGGGTATTCGAAAGCAATATTCCTCTGTCGAAGATCGGCCGGTCGATGTGAGCTACGAAATAAAGAAATTCGAGTTGAAAATCAAATCGTTTGATTTTTACAGCAGATGTTCGACGCGCGTCTTTCATGCATCTCGCGAGATCTCGCAATTGTACGGAAAATCACCTATTGATTTTTGGCCAGAAAATAGCACGCATTTTACAGGCCCTTTAACTTAAGCAACAGCCTGAAATGATACCTATTGTGTACAACAGGCTCAATGTCAAACCCTAAATTGATATTTCCTGTAAATTGTTTTATTGGGGTTACTGTAGATATAAATTATCATGAGTCTCCTTGTATTTTGCCATCGTTCTGTCAGGAATAGTAAAATAAAGTTCATGCTGCACATTAAGATATAGTTTTCAGCAACAATTTTATTTTTATTTTTCAATTATTTGTAAAAAAAGCAATCATAAAATCTGCAAAAAAACATTTTTCTGTTTTACCTATGGCTTTCAATTGGTACCCACCGAATTGCTGTTTCACTGAAATACAATATTTACTTGTTAAAATATCATCTGCAGTGGCACATATTAAATGGTAGTATGCGTAACGCTATTTACTGTCAACTACATGTATATATACTGCTAGCTCATCTAAATCTAGTAGAGCAGACTGCCAAATTTATTGTTGGTCATTTTTTTTTCTTTCATAATTTTTTTTATTCATATAATATTTAAACAAGCAGCCTATCGGCTGAGATAGCTCCGCTGTTAGCAATGCACATTTCAATTAAAGAACTGAAGACATCATTAGAAAATGAACAATATGAATAGTATCAAAGCAATCGGACTTACAGTTTTTAACAAGAAGTTGAAAATATCACTTTTTACCAAAAATATTCACCAAAATAAATAGAGAATTGAAGATATCATCACAAAACAAACAAATCTGAGAGAGGTCCACATGTAGTACCTATATATGTAATATCAAAGCAATCGGACTTACAGTTTTCAACAAGAAGTCGAAAATATCACTTTTTACCAAAAATGACAAAAATATTCACCAAAATTAGAGAACTGAAGATATCATCACAAAATGAACAAATCTGAG